TTTTAGCCTTCATGTGGTGTACATTCCCCACACTAAGTTCTGTTTTAAATGTTGTTTATGCTACTTCTTTTCCCACAACTGAATGAAAAGAAATGTGCTACTTCTTTTCCCACAACTGAATGAATATTTGAAAATCTGCCTATCTCAATTGTTATTGTATTTTATATCTTATTCTCCAAAAACAATTATTCCATTTTTATCTGTAAGTGTAAATATGTAATTTTATGTAAGAACTTATAATAAAATGCTCTTAAAATTTCTCTTCCTAAGCCCTGGCTGGCGTAGCTCAGTGGATTGAGCGCAGGCAATGAACCAAAGTGTCACAGGTTTGATTCCCAGTCAGGGTACATGCCTGGGTTGCAGGCCACGGCCCCCAACAACCACACATTGATGTTTCTCTCTCTCTCTCTCTTTCTCCCTCCCTTCCCTCTCTAAAAATAAATAAATAAATCTTAAAAAAAATTTAAAAATGTATGTTGCTAAATTAAAAAAAAATTTCTCTTCCTATTTTAGTTTTCTCATTTCTAACATTTATACTGGATTATTTCTATTGATCATTTTAAAGAAATTATGAGAATATAACCTGCATAACAGTGTTATAGTAAATATATAACAATCATCATCCTAAAGTGATAACACTATTTTATGTATAATGCATAACATAATAACACATGTGCTTCATGGACATATAGTTTTGAATAAATGAGTAAATGTATCCTTTTATTTTTCCTCTGAATTTTTATACTTCTCAAATGTGCTAAATCATGCAAAAACTTGTGTATGCAATATAAATAATCAGAAGCTTTTGAATCTATGAACTGCATATTTATACAAGTGAGTAAATATCATACTTTTATTCCTTTCATTATTTAATGGAAATGTTTTAATTGCAGTGCATATGATTTTTCACCATTTAACAAAATCTTCTAAGAGTTTTAGTGGTATACTTACTTGTTAGAAAAATTTTCAATAACCAACCATACAAATATCTCTAAATCTCCATTAGCACATGTAACAGGTGGTCAGAATAATAAAAAGATTTCCTGATGAATATTTCCACAAGTATTTCAGTCAACAGTTTTGTCTCATGCTAGATCATTCCAGTCAAACTCAGTCCCCTTTTTACTACAGGAGAGCATTCCCTCTCTTAAAAATGCCTAGAGCAGGGGTGTCAAACTCATTTTCACTGGGAGCCACATCAGCCTCTCAGTTGCTTTCAAAGGGCCGAATGTATTTTCAACTCCTTAACAGTTAAGGAGTAGTTAGTTACATTTATACGGTCCTAAAATTATTTTGGCCCTTTGAAGACAACCATGGGGCTAATGTGGTCCCTGGTGAAAATGAGTTTGACACCCTGGGCCTATAGAGAGGTACACATTTTATTGATTCATCTCTTAAAGCCATTTTCTTTAAGCTCATCTTCTCATTTTCTTTCCTTCTGAGCTATTTTTCTTGTTTAATTATATTTTATTGACTATGCTATTATAGTTTTCCCAATTTTTCCCTCTTTGCTCTGCTCCACCAGTACTGCTCACTCCCTCAGGCAATCTCCACACAATTGTTCCTGTCCATAGGTCATGCATATGAGTTCTTTGTCTACTCCATTTCTTATTCTGTACTTTACATCCCCATGGCTATTCTTTAACTACCTATTTATACTTAGTCCTCTCACCTCTTTGGCCATTCTCCCACACCCTTTCCCATCTATCAACAACCAAAATGTTCTCTGTATCCATGATTCTGTTTCTGTTCTTCCTGTTTCCTTAGTTTGTTTTTTAGATTCAATTGTTGATAGACATGTATTTATTACCATTTTATGGTTCATGGTTTTGATCTACATTTTCTTAAATAAGTCCCCTTAACATTTCCTATAATAATGGTTTAGTGATGATGAACTCCGTTAGCTTTTTCTTGTCTGGGAAGCTCTTTTTCTGCCCTTCAATTCTAAATGATAGCTTTGCTAATGTAGAGCATTCTTGGCTGTAGGTCCTCATTTTTCATGACTTTGAATATTTATTGCTAACCCCTTCTGGCCAGCAAAGTTTCTTTTGAGAAATCAGCTGACAGTCTTATTTGAACTCCCCTGTAGATAACTAGCTTCTTTTCTCTTGGTGCTTTTAAGATTCTCTTTTTTTTTTCTTTAACCTTTGGCTTTTAATTATGATATGTTTCATATATATCTGTGATATGTGAGGGCCTCTTTGCATCCATCTTGTTTGGGACTCTCTGTGCTTCTTGGACTTGAATGTCTATTTCCTTCACTAAATTAAGGAATTTTTCTTTCTTATTTTTTCCAAATAGATTTCCCATTTCTTGCTCTTTCTCTTCTTCTTCTGGCACCACTGTGATGAGCATGTTGGAATGCTTGAAGTTGTCCCAGAGGCTGCTTACATTATGGTATTATTTGGTGGGGATTCTCTTTTCTTCTTCTTGTTCTGATTAGTTGTTTTTTTGCTTCCTTATTTTGAAATCATTGATTTGATTCTCAGCTTTACCCACTCTACTATTGATTTCCCTGTAAATTGTTCTTTATTTTAATTAGTGTATCCTTTGTTTCTGACTGTATCTTTTTTATGCTGCTGAGGTCCTCACTAAGTTCCTTGAGCATCCTTATAACTAGTGTTTTGAGCTCTGCATCTGGTAAACTGCTTTTATTCATTTTGTTTTGTTCTTTTTCTGGAGTTTTGTTCTGTTCTTTCATCTGGGCCATGTTTCCTTGTTTTCTGATTTTGGCAGCCTGCCTGTGTTTGTTTCCATGTATTAGGTAGAGTTGCTATGACTCCCTATCTTGGTAGCATGGCCTAATATAGTAGGTGTCCTATAGGATCTAGTAGCACAGCCTCCCCTATCACTCAAGCTGAAGCTGGGAACTCGAGGTGAACCCTTTGTATGGGCTGAGTACACCCTCCTCTTATAGTTGAGACTTGATTATTGTTGGAAGGTCAATGGGATGGATTTACCCAAGCCTGTCAGGTTCAAGGACTTGCTATGACCACTGACCACAAACCTCTGCCCTCCATGGAGAATCAGCTGTTTAGGGGCATGGTGGTGGTACTCTGACATGATATGTAGCTGTCCACTGGGTGTCCAGGCTCTGGGTTTTCCCAGGTGGTGCAGACCAAGGTCCACTCCCACTTGTGTTCTACCTAGGGCTGCCCTATATGAGCTTTAAAACAATCTGAGATGGCTGCTAATTATACTGGGCTTGAAGGTTCCCAAAAGAAGTCAAGGTGTCAGTCTAGGCTGGCTGCTGCTAATGCCAGGTTGGGGCTGCTTAGCAAGAGGTACAGGTACTGAGGGCTCATTGAAACCAGCTGCTGCTTGTTTGACAGGATTTGGGAAGGTGTGAAGCATAAGCCAAGACCAGTCATTCATATGGAAAAGTCACTGTTAACAATTTAAGTAGGCTCATAATTTGGGTGGGACAGAGTCTCAGGGGATCTTCAGGGTAGGGCAAAGAGTGTTAGCCAGGTTGATAGAATCTTGTGTTGTGACCCTCCAAGGCCAAGCAGGTTCCTGGTATTCATGCAGATGGAAAATATCCATAGAGCCGTTGGGATGTCTGATATGCCTTTATTCACGGGTGGGTGAGCCATGCACACTGAAAGCTGCATGTCTATCTGCATGTTTCATCTCATGGCCCCTGCTCCCCAGCATGGCACCTGTCCCCTTGTGTGTCTCTCATCATCATTGCCCCCAACAGGGAGTCCCTACCTGTCTAAGTACTAGAGGGGAATAAAGCCAGCAAGATGCCAGAAATTATACAACATAACATAATTCTGTGCATGCAAGCCCACTTTATGTTATAGGAACAGTTTATTGGACCCAGTCTCAAGGCTATGAGAACACTAGTTATTAGGCCCCTCCAAGACTATGGGAACATTTTTTTCCTTAGCTACCCAGACACTGGAGTGAGGAAGCCAGACTGACTCTACTTATTCTACAAGTCTCAAATATGGTACCCCATGCTGGCTCTATGTCTCAGGGGGGAAGGCTCAGAAAAGGGACAAGGGCCTCTGCCTACCTCTCTGTCTGGAAGAAAGATGTTCCCCAGCTCTTACCCCAATGCCAGACACTTCAGTTCCTCCACATATGCCACCTGTGCCTTGCAAGCTGCTACCCTGATGTTAGAACTCAGAGGGAACAGGTCTGTTTGTATGTTCTTTAAGAACAACTGTGTGAGAATCCAGCATTTTCCTTCACCAACACAATCCTCACTGGATTTTTCAGCCAGAAAGTATGTGGATTTATCTTCCTAGCACTGGAGCCCTGGGCCAGGGGACCTGGTGTGTGGCCGGGACTCTTCACTGCCGAAATATCCCTCCTAAATTTTTACCTACCACACATAGATGTAGGACTTGCCCATTCCATGTTTCCACCTCCTTCCTCCCATTCTGGATGGATGTGATTTCCTCAATTCTGTAGTTTTCAGCTTGACCTGTGATGGTTCTGAGTGATGGTTCTTCTGTATTTCAGTTACAATTCTGATGTGGTTGTGCATGGAGATGAGCTGTGTTTACATATGCCACCATCCTGAATGGAAGTTCCTAAGCTATTTTCTGACTGGAAAAAACTTTTCTTTGTTCCTGATTTTCCATGATCTTTTCCTGTTTACACACTAGTGTGCTGCTAGGTGTCTGATATGTAAATGGAAGATTTCTGTTCCTAAGAAGGGTAAATTGGAGAAACCAAGAAAACAAATTATGCTGATATAAGATCAGTATAATCTAAATAAATCACATGATGTGTATATGGCCTTTTGTACATGACAAATGATCTCATATTGGTGAGTAAGATACTAATGTCCACAAAGCATAGGCTATATTTTTATTTCTTTTGAAAAATTAATCTTTCAACAATACCCATTTCTAAATATTAAAGAACACCGATAACCAAAACATTTATTAAAATTTTCTACAAGGCCATTCTCTTAATCATTTCCCATATTTGGTACAATACTAAGGCATAAGCATATCTTATTACATCTGTGTTTGGTGCAGGTTATTTGATTACCATGGCCATGTTCCTCCACCTCCCCGTGCGGTCATCCCACTGAAGCGCCCCAGGGTAGCTGTCACAACAACACGCCGGGGAAAAGGAGTCTTTTCCATGAAAGGGGGACCGAGATCTACCATCAGCGGTTCCTCTTCATCAGGCTCTAAATGTAAGTAATCTACTTTATTTTCTTTTAAAGAAGGGTGGAAATAAATATCATTTCATGGATGCCTATATTCAATAGATAACCAAACAATGATGAAATGTCTGCTGTGTATAAAATACTAGAAAAATATAAAATGGATAAGAAATGGTATCTGCTTCCTATCACAATACATGGGGAAGGGGAGGAAATAGATACAAATATGACTGATGATAATTCACGACCAATTTAAAAACTGTTTTATCTGAGCAAATAATGAGCTGTTTACTAACTTAGCTTGTGATATATTAAAGTACTGAAATAGAACATACCAATTTCAGTGAATAAATTATTTCACTTCTGAATAAAATACATGTTACTTTTCATAGAAACAATATGCCAAATTAGTGCAGGTATGAGTATTTGAAAATACATTAAGATAATTAATATAGGCAAACTACATAGGGGAGATTTTAAAAGCATCTTGTCATGCTATTCTAAAATTATTTTGAGAGTTATGTGCCTGAAAACATATTTAATGTCATAAAAATAAAATGATATTTACATAACTTTACATTATTAAAAAGACACAAAATGTCTAACTAAACACACTTCTAAATTTTTACATAGACTGATTCAGGAAAAATTCTAACTTGTTATTAGAATATTATTCCTAAGGAAAGGAAAGAAAAATATCCTGCCTTCTTTGAGATTACATTCTAGCAAAGAAGAGACAGACAATAAGCAAACAAATTAAGATATGAGATAATGTAGGGTAGATCATCACTATGTCCAAGAATAAAGTACAATAAAGCAACAGAGAAAGTTGGGAGAACTCTACATCATAGGAGAGACTGTGACAACCTCTTGGACCTGTTGATATGTGAACAGAGACCTCAGGAAAGTGCACAGTATGAGAGTGCTCTGGAGCTATCATAGCAGAACATTCTAGGCAGAGAGAATGATGAACAAACATGTTAAACTGGCATAGTCAGGAAACAGCAAAGGAGCCAGTGGGGTGCAGCAGAGCCAGGGAGGAAACCGTAACTGATAATTAGTGCAAAGAGATAGAAGGAGGCAAGATTCAGTGCAGCTTGGGAGGCCCTTGTAGGGACTTTGTGGTTATTCTGCATCTCAACCCTTTAAGACATGTAAGGCAAACACTGTTATCCCAATTTATTGATAAGTAAACACAGAGATGTCACATGGCTAGTAAATGGTAGATCTAAGACTGCAACCTGGACCTCTTTCTTCTTATACTATATGCTATGTCTACTGTAGAACACTGCCCTTTACCTTTCAGTACTATCAGAAATGCCAAGACAGAATCACTGCTGAAATACTTCATTTTCACATGAAAATGTCCAAAAAGTAGTTCAGGGAGAAAGAAAGCACCAATGGTTTGGCAACTCTGACAAAAGATTAGTTTTCTCAGAATGTGACTGAGAATTTGACTTAGCTACTATCACCTAAATAGCAAATTAAATAGATTTACAGATTGTTATGTACTTATCTACCCATTTATCTATCTGTTCTGTGAGTAGATAAATAAGAATTCCCTTTCTGAGTCTTAGTAATAAAAGAAAATGGTTTCAGAAGTAATCCACAACCAGTGTTATATGCTTTCAGATTATTGTCAAAAGCAACAAAAGTTCTTGAATTTGGTTCTTGCTGTGAAAAATTAAATGTTGAATTGCCTTCTAGGTTTACGGAACATTTTTTCTACTATAGAAATATTAACTTAATTTCAAGCAGAAATATCAAATGTCTGTGGATTCTTTGCCATGAGGTCAGTTTTAAGACAAAGTTTATCAATAGAAACACTAATGGTCCATTGGCCATAGCAATTTTTCATTGTGTAAGAGTATTCTTGGCTTTACAGGACACTTACATCCCTGATCTCCACATACAAATGCCAATGGCAAGCTTCAGCCTTTGTACCAAATAGAAATACCTTATTACTATGGAAATATTCCCTAAGGAGCTTTTTTCCAGCAAGTGCAGCTCAACTGTGTAGAATCAGCTACATGGTAACTTTATACTATCTACCCCAGCATGTAGAAAAGACTGGTGTGGTCAGCTCTGTCAGAGAAAGACCTTTAAAGAAATGGTCATTCAAAGTGTCATCTGAAAGGAGTATGGGTGGGGTGGAGTATGGTGAAGAAGAGGACCAAGCATGGAGAGAGACTTCAAAGCCGAGGTAACATTTGAGCTGCATCTTTAAGAATTAAAGTGCATGTACTAGGAAGAATGAGAGAGTGGAGCAGACCAATAAAAACCACAGAAACAAAAGTCTGGATGCTAAAAATATGACACAGAAAAGGATTTGTGAGCATTGTGGCCACAGCCATAGAGGAGTAGGCAAGGGGAAAAGACTGGGAGCCAACTGAGAAGTAAAATGGTATCTCATATCCTCACACTCATAATTTTTAAATTGAAAAATTCATAATCTAATAATTATTTCTAATTGCCCAGTCTCCCCACTTCTCTACATCAGGGGACTGTTACACAACAATTGTACAACAGCAAATCAATTAAAGTATTCAGTATTATTCTTAGTAAGAGAAATACTCCTTGCTCTCAATATCTAATGCTATCGAGATTTAATTTAATTTAATTTTGATGTACATTTTAAAAAAGGTGTTCTAGTCAATGTGATGTGTCTTTAAATACCAGAAGTATGGATTTTGAATAGTTGAGGTAGAATTGGGAAAAAATGCAAAATGGTGTTTGCCAAAAGCAGGTGTTCTTTTCTGACTCTTGTCATAGTGCTTATGAAAATGGAAAAAAAGTATTTCCACACTAAGTTTCTTTCTGCACTTTTTGTTTGCTTATCTAACTTCATATTACATAGTCAGCTCCAATTTAGTGCCCAGCACATACACAAAGCTTTTAACCACTTTTGTTGGTCTGCTTGAAATTGGCATGTAGTGACTGTAGCTATATACACATACCTACAGATTGTGTGATATTTGCTAAGCCTTTTCTGTGTTCAAGATGCTGAGCTAAGTCCTACTAAGAATGGAGCAGGAGACTTCTGGTCAAGAAGGAGGTGTAGGTAAATACACTTTGCCTGCTCCCACAACTAAAAGAGGGACAACAACAAATTAAAAACAGAAAATAACCAGACCTGCCAAATATTTAACTGTATGGAAGTCCAACAAACAAGGAGTTAAAGAAGCAACATTCATTCAAACCAGTAGGAGAGGCAGAGACAAGCAACCAGGCTGGAGTACTGGAGGCCAGGTGGCAGCTGGTGGAGTGGGCAGTCCCAAATTCGTGTGTGGACAAACCCAGAGGAACAACCAGAGAGCAAAACAGACTGCACAACCCAGGGTTCCAGCTTGGGGAAATAAAACCTCAAAACCTCTGACTGAAAAAACCGGTGGGGGTTGAGGCAGCAGGAGAAATTCCCATCCTCACAGGAGAGTTCTTTGGAGAAACTCACAGGGTCCTAGAATGTACACAAACCTACCCACAGGGGAATCAGCATCATAAGGGCCCAATTTGCTTGTGGGTAGTGGAGGAAGTGACTAAAAGTTATCAGAAAGCTGAACAAGCAGCACTGTTCCCTCTCAGACCCCCTCCCCCACATGCATGCCACACCACAGCACAGCAAAGTGGGTTACACCACCCTGGGGAATACCTAAGGTTCTGCCCCATACTAAGTAATAGGCACACCAAGACAAAAAACATGGCCCAAATGAAAGAACAGATAAAAGCTCCAGAAAAAAAAAAAACACAACTAAGAGAGGAAGAGATGGCCAAATTTTCAGAGGCAGGGTTCAAAACACTGGTAATCAAGATGCTCAACAGGATTGGTTGAGTATAGTCACAAAATAGAGGAAAAAGTGAGGACTATGAAAAGTGAAATAAAGGGAACCAACAGTGAAGGGAAGGAAATGGGGACCAAATCAACAATTTAGAGCGGAAAGAAGAAATAATCATTCAACCAGAACAGAATGAAGAAACAAGAGTTCAAAAAAAAAAATGAGGAGAGGTTTAGGAACTTCCAGGACAACTTTCAACATTCCAACATCTAAATCATAGGGGTGCCAGAAGGAGAAAAGCAAAAGCTAGATATTGAAAAAAATGAAGGAGAATTTCCCCAATCTGGCAAAGTTAATAGACTTCCAGGTAGTCCAGGAAGCCCAGAGAGTCCCAAAGAAGTTGGACCCAAGGAAGCACACACCAAGGCACATGATAATTACATTAGCCAAGATTAAAGATAAAGAGAGAATCATAAAAGCAGCAAGAGAAAAGAAGACACTTACCTACAAAGGAGCTCCCATAAGACTATCAGCTGATTTCTCAAAAGAAACCTTGCAGGCCAGAAGGGGTTGGGAAGAAATATTTGAAGTCATAAAAGGCTAAGACCTGCATCCAAGATGACTTTATCCAGCAAAGCTATCATTTAGAATGGAAAGGGCAGATAAAGTACTTCCCAGATAAGGTCAAGTTAAAGGAGTTCATCATCACTAAGCCTTTATTATATGAAATGTTAAAAGGACTTAAATAAGAAAAAGAAGATGATCAAAACTATGAACAGTAAAGTGACAACAAACTTACAACTATCAGCAACCAAACCTAAAAGAACAAAAACAAAACAAAAATGAATTAAGCAAACAACTAAAACAGGAATATATTCACAGAAATAGAGATCACATGGAGGGTTAATGGTGGGGAGGGGGGAGGGAGGGAGGAGGGAAAAGGTACAGGGAATAAGAAGCATAAATGGTAGGTACAAAATAGATGGGGAGGTTAAGAATAGTGTGGGAAATGGAGAAGTCAAAGAACTTCTATGTATGACCCATGGACATGAACTAAAGTGGGGAATGATGATGGGAGACAGGTATAGGGTGGAGGGGAATAAAGGGGAGACAACAATGAGACAACTGTAACAGCATAATCAATAAAATGTATTAAAAATAAAAAATAAATATAATAATTGAAAAAATATCTTCTGCTTCTACCACTTATTGGCACTGATAATGTTGTGGGCAGGGTGCTAATTGCTTTATGTGCATTATCTCCTTGAGTTCTTACAACAAGAATGGAATTTGTAGATGATGAACCAAAATCTGAGCTGTTACAAGTGATTCCCCTAGGGACATAGATGTGTAGTAGAATCTATCAGGTTCCACAAACTCATTGGGTAGCACTAACTTTTCTGTTCAAGTGAAGAGTTTGCTATGAAAGAAAATAGAATACATACCTGGAATTATATCCTTTGGAGTAGACTGTGAATACTAGTTTAGAGAGATTTGTGCACATGTGAGTGTTTCTGGTATTTTTCATATAAAATTTTGGACGTTTGGAATTTTCTGCAGGAAAGGCTTATCACATGTATTTATTATCTGAGGGCCCATACAAGAGGCTCAGCAGATGGAAAGGAGAAACCCAATGATCAGTGCAATTAAAATGCATGAGAAATCAGAAAAAAAATTTGACAGGGATGCTTTGGACCTAAGACTCATCTGAATTTTAAACTGACTTTTAAAAAAATATATCAGAAATCAAATTTGCAAACATTTTTTAAAATTCTAAGCTCAGAAGTGTGTCACAAAGTATGTCAATTTTGATGGAGTAGGTAAAAACCAGTGGGGAATTACTGTCATCCACCAAGCAATAGAGAAATTGTTAACAGGGGTCAAAAAAAGTAGAAAAAAGGCAGAGAAGAGTTAGAGAAAAAGCACATAGACACAGAGATGGCTCATCCTAGGGATCCTTTCTGGAATCCAGGCACAAGAGCAGAACCCTCCAGGCTATCTGAGTACTTGCTACTAGTCATTCCAAGAAAGGAACCAGGCAACCTACACAGGGCTGCAGATCAATTCACCATGCCGTGGTAAGGGCCAGGACAGAGAGACAAAACCTGTGTGGTTACATCCTTGTTGTCTCTAAGCTCAAAGAGTATTAACTAGTTAGACTTCAACTTCATAATGATCGGGCTTTGATCAAAAGTGTTCCTATAGTGGTGGACATGAGTCTATACAAAGGAAACCTTAACTGCCTGCACACTTAGAAGTTCTTACTTGGTTAGTCCAGATTTCTCATTGGTTTTTAATGTAGTTTCTGTAAAACTGGACATTTGTAGTTTATTTGTTTATGTTTTCAAGGAGATAAACTAAAGTTAGTCCTGGGCTGAGGAGTGGCTTCACTTACTAAGAAATCTAGTCTGTTACTTTCCAACCATAGCCTCATTTCTCCTGCACTAAAAGCTAATGCCATAAGATAAAATATCTTCTGTTAAATTTGATAGATTTAAGTAAAAATACATGATGTTCTTTCATCAGAAGGAATGGAAATAATTCTTCAAAGAAGAATCAGTTTTCAGTTCTAACAGATGATGTTTTTCAAATTTAGCTACAATTCAACAATGGAACTTTTATGTCTGAAATAATTGATCTAAGGAGCAATTCTCTATTTTAAACTATGTTCTACTTTAGGTTGGGTTTTCTAGAATAGTAACACTCCATGGGGCCCCTGATTCTTGCAGTTTTTATTTTGTAAACTACTTTACAAGTAAAATTGTTTTTTATGAAAAATTTGTGATTTTATAACAGAAAAGGATGTTTTATTTTTATATTGCAAAAACTGTTCTTCCTTGAGAAATTAGTTTATGTTAATGCATAATTTATTATGTATGTTTTATGTTGTATCCTAGTTGACAAATAATTCTATTTCAAGCAAATAAAGATTGCACTTAGTTTTTGTTATTTATAATAAATTTCCTGAAGACTAAAGAATCAAGCTAAACACTTATTTTCTTCCAAAATTTCTGGGGAATATACAAGCTGAGATTTTTATAAAATTGAAAGGAAAAGTAACAGAGAAGTGTAGTTGCTGACATCAAGATCTGTGCCCCAGACCTTGGGCATAGCTCTCTGCTGAGGTACAGACATCCCACCGACCTAGTAAGTGCTCATGGGAAGGTGTAGCTGGTCCTTAATGACAAGTTTAAGATCTTTAGGATCTAGTTATTGTGGGTTTATAACAACATTTCCAAAGGTTCTAACCAAAGTGAGAAAACAAGGATGGTGCAGTAAATTTTTCATAAACATTAACATATTTCATTTAATGGAATGTTTGGTAAATATGAAATTGTCCTTTTCCTAAACAATTTTATTTATGATTATAGTTGATAGTAGAATGTTTGCTAAGATTGTTATTTTACATTCTTACTTGGCAAAATGAAAAATTGTCAATCTTCTGTTGGTCTCATTTTTTTTTAATCTTTGAAATCACAGTAAACAGCAAAAGCCTGGAATGGGAACCATTACTGCAAAAATATTAGTGGGAACTTCAGTGAATTTTCTTTCCCTCTAGCATCAGGGATTAAAGAAACAGGAATAACCCACTACCATGTTGTTTTTTGTATCTTTGTTTGATTTTAAGAGGTCAAATAGCAAGGGTTCTGTGAGCTGGAGAAACTTCTCTAGCATCTAACACACTTTAGAAGATAAATGTGGTATCTTGACTTCAATCAATCATCAAAGAACTGATTTAAAAAGATCACTGACTACTAAAATACACATTACAGCATGGTTCTAAAAGTAGCACTAATACACCTGTCATGCTTTAATCCTCCCTCAATCTGAGTCTATTTTAATTACTCAACTATTGGCCAAAACTGAATTAACAAAGTTATTTTATAAAATGTTTCTAGATTCCACCCTGGCTGGTATTGCTCAGTGGGTTGAGTACTGGCCTGTGAACTGAAAGGTCACCAATTTGATTCCCAGTCAGGGCACATGCCTGCGTTGTGGGCCAGGTCCCCATTTGAGGGAGCGTGAGAGGCAACCACACATCAATGTTCACACATGGATATTTCTTTCCCTCTCTTTCACCCTCCCTTCTCCTCTCTCTAAAAAAAATAAAATATTTTTAAAAATATTTCTAGATCCCTCTATCTCTGCATAAACTTTGGTGCTTATATCACAGAGAAACACTATTTGTAATCAAGTTACTGGTATTCTAGAATAAGCTGAAGGTAATGAGGATCTGATAAGACGTGAAAAGTACAATTTGAGGTTTGACACCATCTGGAGAAAACACAGGGTGACTGGGAGATGTATGCTGAGTGTGGTACCTTTGAATTTCTATTGCTTTCTGTCCCTTTTCCCCTTTTCAGTGAAATCAGATGAGTTACAGACAATCAAGAAAGAGTTAACGCAGATCAAAACTAAAATTGACTCCTTGCTAGGGCGTCTGGAGAAGATCGAAAAGCAGCAGAAGGCAGAGGCAGGTAAGTAAACAGGGTGTGGCCACAGATGTGTCAGAATGAAACCAGAGACACTGTCAATCACAGAGACATGTAGAGCCAGAGGCACTGGCAGGATTTAATAGACTTTAATACAGATCCACCATAAAGTTTATAAGGCTATGGTTGCAACAATGGGATATGGTCTTTCATTTTTCAGAGAACATGTGCCAAATTTGTTTAAAATTTATATTTTAACAAAAGGAAAAGTAAAAATGTGTGTTGATGTTAATAAGTAATAGTTGGATCTTAATTGGAAGTTGATATCTCAATATCAAATAATCTTTAAGAAAATAAAGCAAATTAATGAACTAATGCTATCAGGCTACAAATAAAATTCTGTGTGATTAAATTAACTGCAGCAAGATTTAACAGGTTTCACAACCATGATTATGAAGGTCAACTTCCATCACTGCAACCCTGAAAAATTTTAGGACCCAGTTTAGAATTTCACCACCCACAGTGTCCCTGTGTCCCTGGCCACTCCCAGCCAAGTCACTGATTACATGTTTTACCACATCACGTCTCCTCTGAATTATCAACCCTGACCTTAATTTCTAGTTGTCTTCTCATATAATTCTAATGCCCTTTTCCTGTGTCTACAGATATTGTTTAGAATCACAGAATATGAGAACTGGGATAAACCTGGAGGTGACCCAGTACCCAGGCTGACATTTTGCTGTGTAGCCTTAGATCCTCTGAGGCTTCTTAGAGATGAGAGGAGGTTAGAGGGCACAGGAGGTAGATGAACTTGTGTCCCTCCAGTCCAGCCTTTGCTCCCAGCTGGGTAGAGTCACCTCCACCTGTTTTATCTACTCAGATTCAACATACAACTTCATTTGTAAAAAGTTTCACTTAAAAAACAAATAATACAGTTTTGAAAGCCATTGCTGCACTCTAGCCACCTCACTTTCCCAAGAGAAAACAAAGCTCAAGGAAGAAACCACTTAATGACCACAACCACATAACCAGTTAAAGATAGACCTGGTCTCTAGCCCAGATCTTGTGGGTAAGCCCACTCTCCTTTCCCATTTGTAGTGTCAATCTCAGATGCTACCAGGACCTTGTCCCAGGATTGCACTACCATGAGGCTACCTGGGAAGTCCTCCCTAGGGAGAACCTGCTAGGATGTGGGCCCTGAGCTATGACACAGAGGAACCAGCCTTCTGTTGACTGTGTTGAGGGCTGAGGACAAAGCAGACCTTCAGTGATGAGGCACATGGGGCCTATGAGAGATAGTAATAAACTAGGGTTCAAATGCCTCCCACCACTGCCCAAGGCTCACTCAAATGAGCACAGTGACTGTGCCTCACACTGTAAGAAATGACAAGGCATCCTATGGAAGTTCTGTCTCACAGTCATACACTGGGTAAAGGCTCCAGTGGGAGACACCTGGGATTGGTGGTGACACAGACATATCCAGGCAAATGAGCATTTCCTGCCATGTTTCCGCCAGTTGTCTACCCAGCACGTGGCAGAGTCTCCCTGACTTGTTTTGAGTTCATATGGATGACGAACAAGAAAAGAAATAGTCATGTTTATTAAAATTTTCTACTTTAAATGTATTTTCTACTGAGCAAATATACACTGCCTACACTTCTTACTAGAGAAATGTAGGCTTTAGGAAGTTTGTCACGTGTTGTCTGTGGCAGTAATCTAAAGCATTTCTGGAGCCAAAATATCCTGTGATGTTCCTTAAATCAATATTTTCCTTTGAGAAACTTCTGTGAAATTTGTTGTTATGTAAAACAACCCCTGCAGCAAATGACATTGATAAGCAATTTCCACTTCAGTTTAAAGGATTGTGGATAACTCATTTAAATATAAATCACCTCAAAGAGATAATATGATACTTTAGTCCATCTTATTAGACCATCTGCTTTCCTGAAGTGAATAATACCTTCCACAGCTCTTCTTGGGCAATGTTCTGTAAACATAACACTAAAATTCAAAGCTTGCATTTCCTTTTCACAAGAGGCTGTCACCTTATTTTTGTACATGTTCAAACTTTCCTGATCATGAAACAGTTACTTTTTAAAAATGAAAAGCTTTGTCCTGTGATACTAACATCTTGTTACTTTCACATGTTAGGAAGAAAGTGGAATTATTTAATGGGTCATTCCTTTCTCTTAATTGTGTCCTGAACAGTATTTCATACTTGTGAAGTTAAGATAACCAATTTTATACACACACACACACACACACACGTATATATATATATATATATATATATATATATATATATACATATATATATACATATATGTATATGTGTGTATATGTATATAACCATTATATATATAGACAGGTATATTTACATATATTATATAAAATATATATTTTATATATATACACATATTTATTTATTTATAAAAAGAAATCATGATTGTATGAAAAAGTCAAGCCTACATTATGGAAGCTGGAGAGAAATATAATAACATTCTTTAAAAGACTCAGTATCCACCTATTAAATTTAAGGAGCACTTATTTTCATGCTTACTTGGTTGCAATTTAACTATTTGGTAGCTAACATTGACTTTTATTATTACTGTTATATTTATCTCTCATTCCCAATTTACTCTTAGTCATTTAATGATGAAAGTTTTCAGCATAGAAGTAGTTGTAGGAAGGAGGTTGGGTGGTAAGCCACCCAACACAGACCTTTCCTGGAGTTCAAGTTTCAGAGTGCCAGCTTTTCTTCTTTTTTGTTGTATGCGAATTCCTAAGTTAGCAGGAATAATTATAAAGAAGTGTAATTACAATATTTTGGATTCTCTGCACCTTAAACTCCTTCTAATAGATATTAGTATGGCATTCAGTTTCTTCCTTCAGGATTGGAAACTTACCAAGAAAAATGTCATGTCTTCTCTTTCTTTCTAACTCTCCCCCTACCATCTACCACATCCTAGGCAGGACTGAGCAAGTCTTTGACTTCTCTTGAGGTCTCAAGGCCTTCTTGTGTAAGCTAGAGGAATGGGTTATAGAGTCAAATGTATTCCCAACTGTTAAATTATAATTAGTGTGAATCCACCATACCTTTGTTATTTTTTCCATTGGATAATTCAAATAACAACTTTGGAATGTAGTAACTATTTATTGAAAACAACAAATACAAATTACACTTAACATCAGGTTACCCTGTAATTGTAGCTAGGTGATTTTTTTTGTAAAAGAACCACATGTAAATTACCACATTTTTGTGGTTTACACAATGATGTTAAATGACCTAAAAGAGTGAAAGGAGAGAAAAGGAAAACTAAAGACTGGGTATTATACAGTGGAAACAATTAATTATTCCATTGGTTACCACATTTTTTAAAAAAATCACCTTTTAGGCATACAGTATTTGCTATTAAAAGATGATTAGACATTATTTTATGCTCAGGGGTATGCCTAATATATGGCCAGTCAATCTCTCTTGGACAATTCCAATGATAATAGATAATGTTAATATTAATGTTAGACCTAATCATTAGAGAGGTTACCAGAGTCCTATTGGATAGATTCATCCTGTCATATGCTTAGTAAAAGATACATAATTGATACAGACGCAAAGTACTTGATGTCTCAGACATCAAGTACATCAATGTCCAAGAATGGAATATTATAAATAAATGTTTAAATATATAATTTCTTTAGAAACATTGGACTTTCAATACTGCTACTCACTTTATATATGGTATACACTTTTCAGTTCACTAATATCTTTATGCCTCCAGTGGATGCATTGATGTCATTTGCATGGTCACACCTGTGTCTCAAATACCTGTGGTAGATTTTCTTTTCTGAGCCAAAGGTATTTAATTTCACTTGGTTCAGTTATCATTTTCATGTCCCTGGAAACCAACCTTAATATCTAATCTGTTGTAAATGCAACAACCAATTAAATATTTAATAATAGCTATAACATCCTTACCTTTCCACAACCTTTGAACAGAAAGTCAATATAATTAATTGGCCCACAGATTGCCAACTTAGCTGCATTCAAATTTTGCCCACATCTTTTCTCCAGGTAAATCTCAGTAATTCCTTCAGTTGCTTCTCAGTAATTGGGTTTTGCATCTTGAACCACCACCATCTCTCTTCTCTGGCCATTCTGTATTTGCCGACCACAGATTGTGGCTGTAAGAGGGAAGATGCCACTCCAGTGTGACCTGGCTGCTGCCTATAATGCAACTATGTTTCTGTTCTGATACCTTACTACCATTTACAGTTTGGATCAATTGTTGATGCTTCTGGTTAGAGATGTTGGACTAATCACATATATTGAGTTCTGCTCCCTTCTGAAACTGCATTCAAATTATGATGGGATTTTTAAAATGAAAACCCCTCATTTTAAGGAGAATGGACACAAAGCTAAAGAAACCACACAGTAGATGGGGAAGTGGACCTGACTTAGCATATCTGAAAAATACATGTCTCATCTTAGTCACTGAATTCCCCAAAATTTCAGCATTGAAGGCATCATATTCCTCAAGAACTGAGAGAGAAGCCCTGGCTGGTGAAGCTCAGTGGACTGAGCACTAGTCTGCAAAAAAAAAAAAGAGTTGATTCCCAGTCAGGGCTCATGCCTGGGTTGAGGGCCAGGTCCCCAGTAGGTGGCATGTGAGACATAACCACACATTGATGTTTCTCTCCCTCTTTCCTTCCCTCTCTCTAAAAATAAATAAATAAAATCTTAAAAAAAAAAAAAAGAACAAAGAGAGAAAATGGCAGAAAGTCTGTTGAGGAAACAGATTCTAGTATTGTCCTTCCAACTGTTCCTGACCCAGTAGAAGGCTGGGGAAATATCTTTTAGACCATTACTGTAGAAATTCCAAGTGTTTTCTCCCCTTTAGGAGTCAGATTCTGGGCATACACTAGAAGGGATCTTAATTGGGAATATGAGCAGCCTGAGAGAAAAGATTTAAAGATACTGGCATGGGTGCCACCCAAGGAAATGCTCAACCAGATCACCCATGCTTACAACACTGCTAGTCAATACT